ATGCGGCGTGGTGGGGGGAGATGGACGGCAGAAAGGAGGAACCACCATGAACCAAGAGAGTAACACCAATGAAAAAGGCCTGGAGTTATGGAGAGCTTTGGAAGTTGGTTAAGAAGGAATCTGCATTCCACATTCAGAGACTTTGGTCTTGAAAATAGGAAAAAAAGAGTAATTGGGGGATATAGACTAGTACAAGGGTCATGGGTCATACAAGAAAAAGAATTGTGCAGTATTTTATTTCATTACTATACACTGTTCTTAATTCTCCTTTTAATCAAATCTAGGTACTTGGCGTGAGAAAGAAAAGGAGAAACTTGATGCTTGGCGTAAAAAGGATGATGATAGAGAAGAACCTGAAGAACCTGAACCCAGAGACCGTGGAAACAAAGACATCAGGACGGAAGAGCCACCTCCGCGTGACCGTGGCAATAGAGATATCAGAGAGCAGCAGCCACGAGAGCCAGAAAGACGTGGATTTGGAAGAGACAGAGATGACCGCTTTGGAAGGGATCGTGAGGACCGCGGAGGTTTTGGACGAGACCGAGATGAACGTGGGTTCGGAAGAGACAGGGAAGAGCGTGGAGGTTTTGGAAGAGATCGTGAGGAGCGTGGAGGCTTTGGAAGAGACCGTGATGACAGGTATGAATAGTGTTTTCAGATGCAGTAATTTAATGTGACTGTCCCGGAAAATGGCCACCTTTCCCTAATCTTTACATCATAAAAAAATATCGGTTAGAGATAACTGATTGATTCTTTTTGCATGATATAGAGTATAGAATTGCGCTGCATTATATATATAATTTTAACCTTGCTCCCCAAAAAAAGCCGAAAAAAAAATATATATATATTTTTTTTTGTCTTTGGTACATCCCAACTATCACAGTTCTCTACTGAATATTCCCCAAAAATACTTGTGTTAGATGAACCCTAGCCTATAGGCATGTTTTTTTTGTTTTGTTTTTTTGGTGGGGGACAGCTTGACAAAGAGAACTATTTTTGATTTTCTTTTTTTTTTTTCTTCTTCTTCTTCTTCTTTTTCAGCATTAAAATATTATTTTTGATTAAGGCAAAAATTCAAAAATCGGCCTTTTACATGGCCTTGGGACGCCGAGGCTCTAGTGAAAGCAACAAACTGCATTTGAATCGCATTAAAATTACGTGAGTTGGGATGTACCGAAGATTCAAAAATAAATGACAGAGCTACGGCGTTTTGTATTTGGCCCCATGCCAAAGTTCGTTATCTGTTATTTTTCTCTGAATCTAATGATATTATATATTTAAAAAATGCTTATTTAGTGTACTTTGCAATGCAATGGTCACTGGGTGTTTATAATTTTTGAGGATGATCATATGTACATGAATGCACGCACATAAAGTTTAAAAGATTAATCATCATCATTTAGTAGGCCTACATTGACTTTCATATCTAAATAATAAAATATATTAGTTATCACTCTCATACCATTTTCTTTAATATTTGTCAATATTAACAGATTGCAAAGGAGAACAAGTGTAGAGTTTATGATTAGCCATTTGCACCCATCATCTTTACTAAGAAGTGCATAAAATCATGCAGATGCCTAGGTGTTGTGGGATATTTGCCAATTTATGGTGCCTAAGACTCACAGTAACGTCTAAACATTAATTTTTATCGGGAACGCACGAAACGGATGCGATAGCTTTTTAAACGCCAGACGAAGACTATGCATACAACTGAGCTCAAAATTCCATATAGTTTTTATTTCAGAACAGGTATTACTGATTACTATCATCTTCAACATGAAATAATCTGTATCTCGCTTATATATCCGAAGTTTAAAAATCTGACATTTAGTTAACATTCGTATTGAATTGGTCTTTACAACGGTAACTACCAATTTCAAATCAATTCAAATTGCCCCCTGCTGTGATGTACCGACCGTTGAGCGAAATGTAACGGAAATATTTCAATCCTTCCTTATAAGGCTATTTTTAAACATAGTGCTTCGTATGTGATATATGTACATATTACCTCGTAAGCTAAAACATATTACCAGGGAGTCTCGATCGAAGCATATTTCGTGTGTAAAAGGACACAAAACTTAAATTTTTTTTTTAGATATATTTCACAAAAGATTTCGTCATAAATCACAGTGATATAATTTTTTCCTGATATTGGTAAAAAAGTGTTCCTTGAACATTCACAAACTCATATCTATGCGCATTGTCATAATTAAATGCCGTATGAGTCCACATAGGTGTACCTGGGCGCTCATTAGCGACGTACCTCTCCGGGTGCTGAGGGACTCGCGCACTTATTTGGTGCTTAGAAGGGGGCTTTAGCATTATTCCCATCGGTAAACGAATGTGAAATGTAACATGCGTAAGCAGTGACTGCAAGAGCGCCGTTTCCAGGGAGGATGCCATTTCCATGCTGCACACCATATTCCTGTCCACTGTGACTGGCGGCACAGGTTGTATTATGTAAAATTGAAAATTAAAGAAAATGAGATATGACAAATATCCAAATGTTCCTTTCTCTCTCTCTCTCTCTCTCTTTCTCTCTCCTCTCTCTCTTCTCTTCTCTCTCTCTCTCTCTCTCTCTCTCTCTCTCTCTCTCTCTCTCTCTCTCTTACACTGACCAATTTACTACATAGAGGGATGATATGGAGTCTGTGCAAGGAACATAATTAATTACCATCTGTATAAAGCAAATCAAAATACAAATATAGACTTGGGAAATGATAAAGCTAAAAAAAAATTACACAAAATAACTTTCCGAAGGGGAGGCACAGTCTTGTCACCACTCATAGGTATTCATGCATGCCAGACCTACGCACCGCACACCCAGGATGCTGGCCACTTACGTAACCATTGCAACTGGATCTGATAACCTTTACAGTGTGAAATTATAGTTATGTAAGGCAAAAGTAGTTGTTAGTTGCCAGAGTGAGAGATGCGACAACACTTCTGTTTTGATTAGTTTTTTTTAATACAAGTAATTAGATAAAACTTTATTTAGATAGTCATTGTTTCTTAGAGCAGTTTAGGTAGATCAATTATTACTATGAAATTAAAAAATGGCATGCTATTCCCAGCAAAAAAAAAAAAAATTATATAAAATATTATTCTTTGGTAACTAAACAAAAAGTAGTATTTATAAAGTATACTACCGAGTTCCTGCTTTATCCGGATAATTACTGACTGCAAAAAAGTATTTAAGTTTGTCTTGTATTATGGAAGTTTTTATTATTTCAGGGACGGTGCAAGTGACTGGCGTCGTGGACCACCAAGGTCTGATCGTGACTTCGGCCGTGGTGACCGAGACAGGGACTTTGGTAGGGGCGATCGTGACAGAGACTTTGGACGAGGAGATCGTGACAGGGACAGGGACTTTGGACGAGGAGATCGTGACAGGGAATTTGGAAGAGGAGACCGAGACAGAGACTTCGGACGTGGAGGTGACCGTGACTTTGGACGTGAGGACCGTTTCCGCAGGGGTGAAGACCGCGACATGGGACGTGGTGACCGTGGATTCAGTCGTCGCATGGATGATGACAGGCGTGGACCCTCAAGAGCAGATGATGGAGGTTCTTGGCGAACATCAGGACCTCCTCCTACCAGAGATAGGTAAACAGTGATTATTGTTGGGCAGTGTATATATATACATATTAATCAAGAGTGAATTATTTAATCACCAAGAGGCATAGAGCTCAAATTTGTGATTACACAAAACCTATCATTTTAGACGTGATGACCGTGGTGGAGAACGGATGGAAAGACGAGATGATAAACGTGGTGGTGGTGGTGGTGGAGGAGGCAACTCATGGCGTGCACGTGAGGAAGCGCGCAAAGAAGAACCTCGTGAAGAGAAGTCACGCCCATCTCGCGAAGAAGATGAAGATGGCTGGACTACTGTGAGGCGTTAGCTCAAATGAAATTGCAATGTTGTCTTTGCAGAGGCTTCATTGAGGGACTATTCACTATCTTGATTATTAGATACTATGTTTGAGAATCCAAAATTTAAAGTGAAATTAAAAGAAATAGGAAGATAGAAGGTTTTTGTGAAATTTTATTATTAGTTGTCATTTTTGTTATTTGGTGCTATCATGAACTAAAAGGATCTGCTTTCAGAAAGAATAATCAAGAATCATAATATATAGTAAAAGAATAGAAAAAATAATCTGTAATTGAAGCAGATTTTTGTGTAGATGCTTTTTAGTGTCTAAGCTGCCTAGTGTCTAAATTTTATCAGTATAAGAAAGTGGAAGAATGATGCAAAGTTAGATAACCAGTTTGCAGTTTTGCACATAATGAAATGATAGGATTAATCTTTACGCCATGTTTCTTTCGTAGGAATTCTCACCTTATCCCATACTATTTAACAAATTATATAAGATTGTCATTACTCTGATATGAGAAAGGCTGTTATATTAATGGGCTATACGTGCAGACTTTAGCTTTTATAAATGTCAAGAGCGTGTCTTGTACTTTTAATCAAATCTTCCTAAAGGAAGAAATTAGCCCACAGTCCCACTTAGCTATGTTTTCCACTAGAGTGAACTCTCTCATTATTGATTTTTTAATGTGGATCTTGATAACTTTGAGTATCTTCAATGGTCTGTATTGCCACCACATCATTTAAAGGATTAGGTATGTAGTAATTAAGCGCTGTTTCTTAACCAAGAAAATATCACCAGTGATTGTTACTCGTTTATGTTGAATTGAAGGCTGAGTTGTAATATATCATGACTTGTTTTCCTTGGATGAGAAGCTATCTGCTTTGTAGTGGTCAAACTATTATCAATAAAGGTAGTGGTCTCCTACTGATTTTTTTATTCACTTGGTATAACTGTTTATCAAAGATTAAGCATCTCCTTTTTCATTACTATGTATTTAGTAGTTGTGGAGGGATCACTTAGTGATTCCCCCCACTCCCCCTCCTCAATCCTGCGCCCTTTGTTGCCGTGTGTGTGTATGTGTGCGTGCGTGCATGCGTGTGTGTTCAACTCATTTTGCATGGTCTTCTCTTCTCCAACTAATACTGCCCGCTTCTTAAGGTGTGAGAGCTGTATTGAAAAGATGAAAAGATGACTTTGTTCTAGTCATGAAAGGCCTCAGGGAGCCATGGGCACAGTATTCCCCCTGGTTGTTTAACCCTTACCCTTCAAGGGACCCTGAGGGATGGATCTTTCATCTCACTCACATATTTCAGGCTTACCATGGCCAGTAATGAAGATTTTGTACCCATATGACCATTTTCTACCCATAAATACCTTGGGTTATACCTGTTTATACCTTATAGCTGCTCCTGTTTTCCTGGATACTCCCAAATCACCAAAAACTTTTGCTTTTCCTCACTTATTCTTGCTTTGCCAACCGCCAGTATATTGGACAGCTTTTTCTTTGACAACTTATTCAGCTTCATAAGACATATATAGATATCCTCCATCTGATCTAATTTCCCTACTTCCTTAACTCCCCCTTTAAACAACCTTTACTTTATACTATATGCCACGAGTTCCCCCTCAACCTTTCCACAACCATGCTACCCTATGCATCTATCCAACCCTTAACTTTACCCTAATAATTAATTAATTTCTAACCCTTTTCGCTGCTATACTTTACCATATGCCATATAACACTGAAGTCTAGCATAGATTTGTTTTAACTATTGCTGATTGATATAACGCTTTTAACAGAAGGAATTATATAAATGGTATCCATGTTATATAAGATTGGGAGGTTTAGGATATGAGGCCCCCCCAATTCCTTGCCCGTTGTTGTCGTGGGGGGGCTTAGGAGACAGAGACTGAGACCCAATGCAGTGATATCTCCCGCCTAGGGCCTCAGCCTTCGACTCTAATTTTGCATGGTCTTTTCCCCCTCCTGCTTTTTGTTTCCGTCCTTTCTCCAACCCCTTCTACTATCTACTTCCTAAGGTGTAAGAGCAGTGCTGAAAGGATGAAAGGTTGACCTTGTGCCAGTCCTGAACGGCCTGTGGGAACCATGGGCACGGTACTACCCTGATTTAGTCTAGCCCTTACCCCCGTACAGGGCACTGGGGGTGGACTGTTTATGTCCCTTTGCATAACCAAGGCATCCCATTGCCAGTAACGATGTAATATCCCTATTAGGGGCAATGAGCTTGCTCCTTCATCAAATAGCCCCACCGGGACCCGACCCCAGGCTCTCCTTTGACCACGACTCAGAACACAAACTATTACCCACTCCTCACTGCCTACTAGTGCATTACCCACCCAAGCAGACTCAATCTCCAGAAGACATTCCTACCCTCCCAACTTCTCAAATTCGTCAATTCTCTTCATCGAACACCCCAACCTCCTTATTACTACCTTACAACCTTATTCTCCATCTCCATAATACTACCCCCCTCAACAACACTCCCGCTTCCACACGCCCCTGTCCTTCTACCACCACCAACGCTACAAATATCATAACTACTATATTTAGCCCAGCTAAATGGGACCGAGTTTTCGTGATCCCCCCTAAAGCCCCTTACTCAGGCAACACTCTTATCTTTCAAAAATGTCTCCAAAAACATGCAGACAGAGTCCCTTTCCTTACCTGACGCAATCGTAACAATCAGATCTGAAGCTGAAGCTATAGCATTATCAAAACTTAACTGATCTCTCAGGCATCCCCATCCCTACAGAACCTTATCTAACTCTTAATACTTGTACCAGAACTATCTCCCCAGCAAACTCTCCAGTCGATACCAAAGATTGGTCAGATTGTGGAGAAGACTTGCTCGGCTGCCTCAAAGACCAGAATGTGATATCAGTACATTGCTACTCCATTCCTCCTAGAGGTCATCGAAAGAAACCCACCAACGTTGCCAAAATTTCTTTCCTATCTACATTGGTGGACAATACCTCCCTGTTCAACCAATCTCCTTCCCGCCAGTGTCAAAATTGTTGGCGATTTGGACATCCTCCCAAACACAGCCGCTCCACAGATCGATACCCTCTATGTGCCCAACCCGATCATAACAGATCAAACTGCCCTGCACAAACACGCACATGTGCTAACTGCGGCGGCCCCCATAATGTATGTTATAGAGGCTGTCCCACTTACAAGTTCGAGTCTGTGAGGTAGCAGCTCTCAGATTCAAAAATTGCCTCACTCTACGTGAAGCCAGACGAAGCATGCCGACAAGGTTTCTCTTACACTCCCTACTCCAGTAATGTCGCTCGCTCTGCCCCTCCCCCTCCACCTCAAGATGGTTCCTACCAACCCTCCTTACACCCTACTTACTTCCCCACTTCCACTTCTACATTCTACCTCCCCCAGTCAAATTCTTTTGCCACTCTAAATCCAGACACCCCTCAATACATCTCAACTACAGCCCCGACACCATCCCCTCTCCCTCCCCGCACTACCCGCAGCAGACAGACAACGTCCCCCCCTTCTTCCCTACTGCACACTCATCTCCACCTACCTTTGCCCTATTCCTCGGACACCAGTCTCCTCTCCCCCCCCCCCTCATAAGAAAATCTTTCTCACAATACTCTCCAACCAACTCTACTGCAGAAACTATGGAAGATATCCAAAACTATATTCTTGTTACAAAATTTCACGATTCATGCTCCCTCCACACTCGAAGTGACTGCCGATATTCATCCCCCTCCTACTCATATTCCCCCTACACCCTCCCTACTCCCTCTCTCAACCCAACCTAGCCCCCTCAATTCCGCATACTGCCGATATCAATCCTCCTACTCCCTCCCAACACAACCCATTCCCCTCAACACCCAACTACTGTCGATATCCTCCTCCGACACCCATCCTCCTCCTACTCATATTCTCCCTATCCATCATTTCCCCTACACCACACCTCCTATTCATTTCTCTACACCCACACCCTCCTATTCATATTCTCCCTACACCACTCCCTCCTACTCCTCCCAACGCAACCCACCCTCACTCCATCTATACGTACATTCCTCCCTCCATCCTCTATCATTTCCACTCCCTCCTGGATACACACGTGAATCACTTATGTAATTCCCTTACCTAATCCCACCATAGCCTATTCACACAATAACTTCTTTACCCATCTTAACCTTTCAAGATCATTCTAGATAGTTGGCGCATAGCACCTATCACCCTTCACCCCTCCTTTAATATACTTTCCTATAGTGCTATATGACCTTAGATGTCCACCACATTTATTTTTGTTTTTTAACCGTTAACCATTAACCCCTAGCCCCTTCCCCTTCAAATTCTCCCAAACGCACTGTAACCGTTATCACTCGTATATCAGCTAATATGTAGCTCTCCTACATTGGAATATTCGATCTTTCCGTTCTCACAGATCTGACTTACGTCAAATCCTTCCTATAACCCATCCATTATCTGCTTCCAAGAGACTTTTCTTAACCCCCCCCTACCAATTCCCTACTCCCTAATGTAATGCCCCTCTTTCAGTTCCACACATTGTGTTGTCCTGTTTGCTCTTTGCTACAGCCCGCACCTCTGCTTTCCCCCACCTATCCTCCTTTCACCGACCTCCCAACTTTTACGGAATCCCACACTTTCTGCTCTGACCACCTGTTCTTCCTCAGACGCATACATATCCTTCATTTGATCTAATCCCTTACCTAAACCCACCATAACCCATCCACTCACGAACTCCTTTACCCATCTTTAATCTTTTAAGATTACTAAAGATAGTTGACGCATATCAACTATCACCCTTTACTATCATTTGCTGTACCTTCCTATAGTGCTATATGACCTTAGATATCTAGCACATTTATTTTGCTTTTAACCATTCCTAGTGTCAGTACAAATGCAGCGTTATTCTAATATAACATGGCAAGTAGAAAATAGAGCTTCACAAATTATAAAATATTCGTTGCTGTAAATCCGGAAAATTCTTAATGTTTTTTATTTATTTTTATTTTCATGTCAATGTCAAATCAAGCAAGTTCCCCGGTAGTCTATTATGTTCATGGGCATGATAAAACTCCCCCAAAATATGTTAGTTATTGCAGCAAATGGTGGGGGATGTGGAGAATGGCGAATACATATTTTAGTGGAAAGCGTATTTTTATTTTCTGAGTTAAAGTACAGCCAGCAACAAAATGGGTGACGCCTCGCCAGTCCTGGCTCGGTGAGATCATGCCCTTCTTACTCTGAAAGGAGGCCCGCGTTCAAACAACTAGGGCGTAGTTAGGATGGTTCAAATGTGATGAGGGGGGAAAGTACGGAAATCAGGCGAAGAAGTGCAATAATGACTGAAATATACATGAAGAGAGAGAGGGAGATCGCTTTTGTTCCTTTAGTTGTTAATTTGATGATATATTGGAAACCTGCCATAAGAAACAAATTATCTTATATTATTTAGAAGATGATTATCAAGAAATCTTATCGCATCGTTTTATTTCAATATCTTATCATATTTTCTATATATAAAAAAATTAAACAGCGCTGGAACTGACTATTCATATTAATATTCGTCAGACGGAAATATCCTCCATACATTTATGAAGGATGTATTTTAATATATGGCTCTACATTATCTTAAGCAACTAGTCTCTCTTTCATTTCTTGTATCACCTGGATTCGCTATTTAGATAATGGTAAACTTTTGATATGTTATTTGGAAAAGAACATGACATTAGTTCATACGCCATTATATTTCCAAATGTTTACAATTATTTCATTACCAAAAATAACGAAATGAATACGTAAAAGACGGTTATCGAAAGCAATGGGTTACTTTGATAGTTTGGAGGGGAAACCTCGATAAGGTGTTGGACACCAACCGCTGAAACGACAAATAAAGGCGTACAATCAA